CGGCACAGGATCCAGCGGGCAAGACAGTGTATTGGAATTAGGATGCGATCGCTGTCGTCTCTACTTGTCGCTGCCATACAAAAACACGACGCTGAAGACGAGGACGCCGGCCATCATCGAGAACGCCGACGCGTAGTAGGGGAAGGCCGCGGGGATGAAGCGCTCGTACTCGTCGTGCTTGTACGGGCGCAGCGACACTTGGGTCGTAAAGTGCAGCGTCGAGAAGCCGATGCGGCGGTACATGACGCGGAACTGGAAGATGCCGTAGACATCCGGCGCGGTGAACGTGACGCTGAAGCGGCCGTCGCCGTTGTGCGTCATTGTCTTGCGCACGTGCGGGTCGAGCATGACAAACTCGAGCTGGACGTCGTCGGCCGCGAACGGGGCCCACGCGCCGTGCTTGAGCTCGGCCACGTCAAACGAGTACGTCAAGTTGTCCTTGATGCGGTACACGAGCGAGTCCCGCGCGACCTCGGCGTCCGGGTACAGCGTCAGCGGCTGGTCCGGGCGCTCGACTTCGTTGAGCATCTTGTCGGGCAGCGACCCGTCTTTGCGCGCGTGGTGGACGTTCGAGACGCGCAAAACACCGCGCTCGCCAAGGCCCCACGCGCTCACGGCGGCGACAAAGGCGCCGTTGCCGTACGTGTCCGAGGTCACATACGCGTTGCTAAAGATGTCGAGCGACCCGGTGAAGATTAACCGCGCATTGTTGCGGGCTTGGATGGCCGTGACGAGCCCGACGTTGGAGCCAATGACCACTTCGTGCGACTCACGGATCTCCTTGGTGGGCGCGGCCGAGTAGGCGGTCGGCTCGGCCGACAAGACCGTGAAGCCGAGGATGTTGGAGGGTTCGAGCGTCATGCCAATGCCATTGTAGACAATCGGCTTCTTCGCCTTGAGGACCTTGTCGCTGACGACAATGCTCGAGTCAATCCACTTGGTCGTCGCGATGAGCGAGTGGTACGTATCCGCCGGGTCCGCAAGGTGATGGACATGGTCCATGACGATCGTGCCCTTCTTCTCAAACTCGACACCCGACTCGAGCGCAAACTGACGCAACATCTTGGAGAGGCGGATGCTGCCGCCAACGATGACGTTGCCGCCGTCTTCCACAAAGGTCAGGAGCGCATCCTTGCCGAGCGTCGTGGCGCCAAGCGTCTTGAGCGTTGGCGAGAGGATCACGACGTTGTCGTAGAGCGCGTCGCCGTACTTTTTGAGCGCAAAGCCGGCGCTCTTCTCGTTAAAGTAGCTCAGTTCGTGGCCGCGGGCCGAGAGCTGCGCCAAGAAGGCCGAGGCTTCGGTCGTCTCGGGCGTCTCGGCCTCGTCGAGGAAGACGGCCGTGCGCGCGGCCATCGCGACGCTAAGGAGCGCAGCGACCATGGCCAGGATGAGCACCTGGCGGGACGACATGGTTTCGACACGTCACAAGCAACTTGTTTGTGGCTCAAACTCGGCAGCGCACAGATCGGGTCCGCCACATACAAACACCAAGTGCTATATTTTAAATACACCATTTTATTCAAGCTTGTTGTTTGTATACAAAGCGTTATCGTTTTTTAACCAGCGTCCACGTCAGCGTCGCGTTGCTATTTTTGTCCGGGACAAATCAAACGTTGTCCTGGACAAAAACGGCTACCACCACTCGCACCACAGGAGTGCTTGCAGTGATGGCGATCCCGGTGGCGGGATCACGACGTACTTCCGTGCTAGGTACATGCCGGACGACGTAATTACTAATATATAAACGCTAGCGATACCGATATGAGGGAGGTTCAAGTCGGCTCAGTGGAAGCTGGGTTGTCAGTGAAACTCATTCATTCAAAATGGTGTTCAAATCTCGCATTTCAATGGGTAGGTCGGCCTATCTTTGGTTAAATGCATCATTGGGTGCCAATGATTGGGTGCTAACCTTTTTAGTTCTTCAGACTTGACGCCTTTGCAGTTCCTCGATGCGACTATGGCAAGGACCTTTGCTGTGGAGTGCTCTCGCTCCCGCTTGTGTATCGATTGGGAAGCAAACACGAGTTTATATTACTACAAGACGCTGGAATTGGCGCCATAAATACAGAATGTTGCGTCCTCACGCGTCAGTGGGCGTGGTCGATGCAGTCGACGCGGACGAGTCGAGCGACGGGCGGTGCAACATTGCGGCGCGCTTGACGACGAGGTCGGTGTGGAAGCTCGCCCAGCGCGCTTGTACAAGTGCTTGGCGCTTGGCCGGGAGGGGCAGCACGTGCACGAGAAAGTCGGTGATGTACGCGGCGCCGACCGGTCGAAAGAGGCGCTCGAGAAACGTGTAGAACGTCGTGCCTGGCATCGACGTTGTCCCGTACTTCTTGGACGTGTACTGGAACGACTGGAATCGCTTGGGGTTTTGGTCGCACGCGTCCCAGACCGCGTCGAGGATTGCTTGCTGGAGCTGGTCGGCGTCCGTCTCGATGACCGAGATCGCGTTCGCAGCAATGACGTGCGAGATACTGCGCGCCATGGCTTCGTCGATCGCTCGCCAATCGAGGAGCGAGAGCGGCTTGGCAGTTGGCACGGCCACGTCGTGGAACGGTCGTGCGACCACATACTGCCCGTGCACATCGAGCGACGTGGGCACCATGTAGCCCCAAATGAGATGCCGCGTCTCGGTCAGTAAGGTCGGCACACTCTTCCACGGCGTCACCGTGATCATGGTCGACTTGTGGTCGTTGGTGACGAGCGTGATCGTGATGTTGAAGAGCGAGCAGAGCGTCTTGAGCGCAATCGTGCCGACGCGTCCGTACTGCCGCCGCTTGCACCGGTGAAAGACCTTCTTGACGTCAATGACGCTCATGCGCACTTGGGTCGCGATCGCTTCCGCGTGCAAGAGGCCAAAGTTGGTCATGTAGAGTCGAATCTTCTCGGCGGCCGCAATCGCTGGCGTCGCACCCACAAACGATGCGCGGTGCGTGAGCAAGCTCGACGACGCAAACTCAATCTCAATGTCGTCGGGTAGGTAGAGCTCGGTGACGAGGCACATGTACGCACTGCGCTCGACGTCGTCCGCAAGCTCGGGCGGCTGCGCCATGAGCTTCTTCATCGCGAGGACGACGACGAGGCCCGCAAGGCTCTGCTCCAGCGACCGAAAGTGGCACTGACAGCCGTACGTCGAGCAGAGCAAAATGCCGCGGTTGGCATCGTCGAGCAAGTGCGCTTCGAGAACGTCGAGCTTGCCCTTCTCGACGGTCGCGAGCGACGGGTTCCAGACCGTCACCTTGAGGTGCGACCCAAACCCGACGTCAAAGTTGCTAAAGTACCGCAGAAACGGCGGCGCCCGGACGTCGAGGAAGTGCAAGAGGCGCAGCGGCGTGCTGACAATGTCCTGCAAATAGGCTTGGAGCTCGGTTTGGCGCTTGGCCATGAACGCTTTGGTGCGGTGCTGGAACATCCAGCGACGCGTGCGGTGGGTCTTGGGCGGCAAGATGTGGTTCATCGGGTGGTCCGCGCTAGGCAGCGGCTTGGAGGTTGTCTGCAGCCACCACAGCCATGTCCGCGTCGGGATCGACGCCGTCGTCGTGGTCGCAGTGTCGGCGTTGGAAGGGACCTTGATCGTGCGCAGTTGACAGTCGAGCGACCGAAATTCCTCAAACGACCGCCACGTACCCCAGTGGGACGCAAACGCGACGTGCGGGTACTGTCGGCACGCAAACACAATGTCGGTCGCAATGTAGTACTCGGGGTGCACCATGATGCTCTCGTCGTACCGGAACGCGCGCACGTGCATGACGCACTTGTGGATCGTCGTCACGTCGTGGAGCGTCACGTCAATTTGGTTGTTGTTGCTCGGGCGGAACCGTCGCGCTGACGACGACTGGTGTGCCGCCGACGCCGGCGGCTTGATGCGCATCGGCGTGCCCATGTCGAGTTGGAAGGTCCTCGAATATCTGAAGAGGCAGTTCGGTCTGCCCCAACTCTACATTGCGCCAAGCAATCGCAGCCGTTGGAACCAGCTGCGAGACATCGTCTCCGTCCCGGCGACTCGGCGCGTCGGCCGATTGGCCCTTGATAGTCGTGTCCCACCGACGATACTAGATCGTCACCACCACCAAATCATGCATGTCAACGCAAAGCTCGGTGGTTTTAGCATCGCAAGCAGCGTCGTCTCGCCCTAGTCCTCGGACGTGTTATCACGCGGGTGGGAGCTGGGGTGTAGGTGCTTGGTACAGTTGTCTCGCAAGATGTCACCCCACCAGGGTTCGGGTTGTCTCGTGGACCCTTCTTGTCGGCGCCGACATCGATGGTCGCGAGCGGTTCCACGACTGCAGCTGTCGCGTTACTCGCGTCGCGCGCCTGTTCCGCGGCTTCTGCCAGCTTCGTACCGACAACGGCAATTCTCAACTCAAAAGACAATCGTGTGCATTGTACTCTAACATAATATTACTATATTTATTCCTGGCAACTTACAGCACCACGTAGCTGTCCGAGTAGCTCATGTCGTCGTCCTGCGGTAATGTCCAGCTCGTTTGGCCGCACGACTCATTGTAGTAGTACATCTTGCCGGTGACCGTCGACTGGACGGCAGCCCACCCGTTGCCGTTGGGCGCCGCCGCATCCGGGTTGAGCTCAAAGCTGTCGGCCTTCAGAAAGCTCACAAAGCCCTCGCGCGACGAGTCGGTGGGCGGCACGTCGACGACTTCAACGAGCTTGGCGTCGATCGCTTTGGTACTCTCGCGCACACTTTCCATGTTGCTCTGGATCATGTAGAGCTCCTGGTTGATCTTGGAGAGCGCGTTCGTGAGGCGTTCTTCGTGCTGCGCCGAGATCGACGGCGCTTCCTCTATGACAGGCACCTCGGTCGTCGACTGCCGCAGGTTCTCGTGGTGGCCAATGTCTTGGATCTTCTCCGTCACTTCTTGGTTGCGCATATGCAAGTCGACCGTCGACTCCTTCACGGTCGAAATGTCGCGCGTGATCGCGTCCATGTCGGCGTTGAGCTTCATGACGAGCGTCATGCGCTGCAGTGACTCGTCCTCGTCATTGTCGACGTTGACCGTCGACCGCATCGACGACCGGTCCTTCTCGAGATCGTCGTAGTGGAACGCAAAGCTCTCGCGGACATAGTTGACGTCGTCGAAATTGGCCTTGGCGAGGTCCATGAGCGACGACGGCGACTTGATCGGCGGCGCGAAGTCGTCGAGCGAAATCTCTTCCTCGTGCAGCGGCGGTTGCTCCGCGTCGTCGTACGCATCGACGTCAAGCTCGCTAATGCGCTCCGACATACGCTCCGACATGCGCTCCGAGTAGCGTTCGGTAAAGACGTCCGAGACAGACGAGAGGTCGCTGAGACGGTCCGAGTCGCCGTCCCCGTTGTCCGACGTCGACGCCGTCTGAACGATCGAGAAGTCCATGCCCGACATGGCCATGTCGACAAACTGCTCCGGCTCGAGCGACGACCGGCGCTGTGACGGTGTCGACGGGTTCGTACTTGTCGTCGTCGTCGTCGTCGTCGGTGGCAACATGACCTTGGGTGGCTCGACAATGCTAATGTGCTGCATGTCTTCGATTGAGATGCGAGGAATCGTCGGTGGCCGAGACGGGTCCATGCTCGGCCGGGACGACGACGAGTTGGACGTGATCGACATGGTGCGAGGCGTGCCGTTGCTGTTCATGGATGCAGCGAGCATCCGGTGCTCCATCATGCTCGGTCGCGAGTCTTGGCTCGCACGCAGCAACGCATCTACACACCTCGTATAAGCAACCAACATGTCTCCCGTCAATATCGTACTCGGATCGGTTGGCGACGTCGAGTTGTGCGTCGGCGGCATCTCCGAGTGGCTGCGCCGGTAGTGTGTCGGCGTGCTAAACGGTGCAGTTGTCGTCGGGCCAAACGACGACTGGTACTGCAGTTCGCGCGCCGACGACGACGACCAGTCGGACGAGTTGCTCGACCGGTCGATCGTCGAGTACTTCTCCGAAACGCGGGTGGTCGCAAAAGAAAAGTTGCCTGCCTGCGAATCCCGAAAGCTCGAGTCCCGGAACGTCGAATCTCGGAACTGAATCGACTCGCGCGAATTCGAGCCCGACCCCGAGAGGCGCCCGATCGACGACGGCAACGAGTTGGTGCGCGCCGAGAGGTTGCAGCGGCCGCAGACGCGGATCTTGGCCTTCTCGCGCGTCCCGACCTGCTGGTTCATGCTGCACTGCGAGCATATGACGTCGCCGCACGCACGGCAATTGTACTTTTTCCGAACGAGCGAAAATTGGCGCGTACAAAGCGAGCAAAACGAGCGCTTGCTTGTTGGCACAAATTCGTGCGGCTGGATCCACTTGAGCGTGTTCATGCGCGACTGGTCGAAGTGGTCGCGGAGTGCAGCGCCGCGAAGGCCCGCGAGCTCCGACATCTTGTTGGTCACGTACATGGGCAGCTTGCCGTTAAAGTCGCCGAGCACCATGGACCGCAGTTCGACCTGAAAGTCCGAGAGCGTTTTGGGCGACGACGCATTGCGGCTGGCGCTGTCGCTGCTGCGAAACGTGTGCAGCATCGTGGTCGTCGCCCGCACAAACTTGTTGGTGCCGTCGACCGACCGCAGCGACTCGAGGTCGATCGACTTGGAGAGACGATACCCAATGCGGTGCCCTTCTTCATTGACAAACGAGTCGACAATCTAGTAGAGGCCATGACCACAAGGTCACGAAGCATCGATGGTCCATACCTCGAGGTAGATGTAGTCGCGCGGCTTGGTGGGCGGCGCAACCGACTTCATGCAGTGCCACTTGATGCACACGTAGCGGCCATTAACGTCGCGCGGGCAGAGCACATGCAGGATCGCGCCGTCGAGAAACTCGGCGGGATTGACTGCGACCTCGCGCTCGTGAAAGTCGCGGGTCGTCTCGGTCGTCAAGTGGTCCAGCATCTCGTCAAAGGACGCGTTCACAAGGCAGACGCTGCGCACGGCGAGCGCGTGGTTGGACATGGAGTTCATGTCGTCGGCGGCGCGCGAGACGACGACGCCGTCCTTCTGCTTGAGCGGCTGCCACCGGATCGCGCCAAAGTCGTTGCAGAGCAGGAGCGCTTCGTCGACCGCTGCGTCAATGTGGGATATGAAGAACTTGGCCTCCATCGGGTCGAGGGGCGGGAGGCGCGAGAGCGCGTCCGCCAAGGACGCCCCACTCGACATGGCTTGGGTCATGCCAACCGGTCCGAAGAAGAGCACAAGAGGCGAACTGGTTGGCATCCATCATATAGTCAGTACGCGCATTCGGGGTTTTTCCTGGACGACTTTATTTTATTATTTTATTGTTATACTGGTCGAATTAAAATGCACGCGGTTTCCGGCGACTATCAATACGTCGTATGAAGGCCGCGCGTGAGTAACAGGCGATGTATTATTATAATTTGATATTTTAATATTTCATGCCG